GGCGAGGCGCTCACCACCAACCTATGGATCGAGCACGTGAGTAGGGACGGGCGTCACGGCGTCACAGCGTCAGTTGTCCGCCAAGACACAGGCAATGGGGTGGCTCAGTGTTGGTGAGGGGGTGACCTGGGGATCCCCCCCTCCAGGGCTGGACTGATTACCGCCTGCAGTGGAACACATCTGAGTTTGGGGACATCCACGTGCTCCGCCTGCCACCGGACATGGTGTGGTTGCCTGAGATAGTTCTGGAGAACAAGTGAGCCGTGCCTCCCTTTCCCCTCCCAAACCTCCCAAGCTGTGCCCGCTCCCAGGGCCCCCCCTGCCCCTCACCAGCCCCGCCATCACCTCAGCTCTCTCCCGGCGCAGCAATGACGGACAATTTGAGATCACCTACTCCTGCAACGTCCTCATCTACAACACGGGCTACGTCTACTGGCTGCCGCCTTCCATCTTCCGCAGCGCCTGTCCCATCAACGTCGACTTCTTCCCCTTCGACTGGCAGAACTGCACCCTCAAATTCAGGTGCTGGGGGGTTGGCTGGGACAGGGCAGGGTGGGCACAGGCACCAGAGTGGGCATCCCGGCCCCCCAGCAGTGCCCAGTGCTGCCGGCACCTTCCCTCACTGTTGGGGCGCAGCAAGGTTGGGGGTTTGCAGGTGACTCCCGAGTCCATCACACTGGAGGTCAGGGTGGGTGGTGGGCACCAAGCAGCAGCTGCAGCCCCTCATCCCCTGTCCCCTCGGCCGTGGGCCAGCTCGCTGGCATACAGTGCCCTGGAGATCAGCATGCACTTGAAGACAGAAAACGACCCGAAGACGGGCAAGGATTACCCAGTGGAGTGGATCATCATTGACCCTGAAGGCTTCACGGGTAATGCTTGTGCTCTCTGCCATGTCCTGTGGCAGCGGGACACCCTGTATGGGGCTCAGGGGCACCCTGGCACTGGGGCACCCTGCCACGGAGACACCCAAGTACCTGGGGCTTTGGCACCCTGGCACCCATCCCACCAGACCCAGGAGCTCCCCAGACTCAGGATGGGGAGAGCGGTGCTGGTGAGCATGGGCATGGCAGGGGTCCCCCACGCCATGCGCTGTCCCCTGTGCCCTGACAGAGAACGGGGAATGGGAAATCATCCACCGCGCGGCCCGCAAGAACATCAACCCAGACAACCCCCCCGAGAGCAGCGAGCACCAGGACATCACCTTCTACCTCATCATCAAGCGCAAGCCGCTCTTCTATGTCATCAACATTGTCACACCCTGCATCCTCATCGCCTTCATGGTCATCCTTGTCTTCTACCTGCCTGCCGACAGTGAGTGAGCCCTGCAGCACCCGCACCCAGCACAGGGGTCACCCCATGGGGCACCACCATCTGCCACATCCACACCAGGTCCTGGGACATGGTGACATCCCAATGCCCAGCATGGGGATGCCCTGGTACCAGGACACCCCCTCATAGGACACCATCATCTCAGCCAGGCACCCTGTAAGGGACACACTTGGGGAGAGGGTACTCCATGTGGGACCCTGGGGTACCCCCATAATAGAAAACCCTCTATGGGGCACCGTATAGTGGGACGCTGGAAGGGCAACCCCGGCACTGGGGGGACTGGGAAGGGGACCTGAGGCAGGGTTTGCCCTGAGCTCAGCTGCTCTCCAGGTGGTGAGAAGATGACCCTGGTGATCTCCGTGCTCCTGGCCCAGTCCGTCTTCCTCCTGCTCATCTCCCAGCGCCTGCCTGCCACCTCCCACGCCATCCCCCTCATTGGCAAGTGAGTCCTGGGCACCCATGGGGACATTGCGGGGTCCGTGTGGTGCCAGGGGACAGCTCTGCCTGTGCCCAGTCCCTGTGGCATTGCCACCTCCAGGTCTGTGCCTCCCACAGGTATCTGCTTTTTATCATGCTTATGGTGACGGCTGTGGTGATAATCTGCGTCGTGGTCCTCAACTTCCATTTCCGCACCCCCAGCACCCACATCATGTCTGACTGGGTCAAAGAGGTGAGCAGGGTGCTGGGCTGGGTGAACTGGTGGGTACAGGGGTGGCACCGTGCCCCACAGAGCGCATACAATCATAGAATCACAGAATGGTTTGGGTTGGAAGGGACCTTAAAGATCATCAAGTTCCAACCCCTGCCATGGGCAGGGCCACCTCCCACTAGCCCAGGTTGCTCAAAGCCTCATCCAGCCTGGCCTTGAACCCCTCCAGGGATGGGACAGCACAATGCTGGCATTGCATTGGGGTGTCCCATCTGCGCTGCTCCCAGGGGCTGCACACTCAAGTTGGGGGCAGAAGGTGGGGACAAGGTGGCATTGCACCAGGGAGATGGCCAAGGGACCTGACAGCCCTTCCCATGTCCCAGGTCTTCCTGGAGAGCCTGCCTCGCCTGCTGGGGATGTCACAGCCAGCCGAGAGCCTGGCGAGTGCCCCGTGCATCCGGCGCTGCAGCTCCGCGGGGTACATCGCCAAGGCGGAGGAGTACTTCAGCGTCAAGTCCCGCAGCGAGCTCATGTTCGAGAAGCAGTCGGAGCGGCATGGGCTGGCCAGCCGCATTACCCCTGCCCGTG